ATCAATGCAACATTCGCATTTTATCCGCCACGACTTTTTTTTTTTTTTTGAAAGTTTTTAAAAGAAAAGCAATTCCTGTCGTGCCTCATTTGGTCAGCCACACGTGGAAACCCTTCACCACGCGTAAGAGTATCCAAACCCAACTGCGATTTCCATGCATCCCACCAACACATGGAAGTCCCAGAGAGATGCATTGTCGGAATGGAATGTGCACTCTCTCCCTGGAGGCAGCCCCACCTGCGTACCTAATCGTGGGGAGTATTAGCGCAGGTTGGCAAGAGCCGAGGCTTGGAGACCGTTCACTGTGGAAAAAGTAAAGAGTTGTATCATTGCCAAGCAGACAGCAGAGTATAGAGTATCATAAGGCAAATGGAAATCAATATGCGTGCTGCTGCTGGAATCGGTGGCACTTTTGACCCCTTTCACGCTCATCCTAGTTTGAGTGTGATCTATGAATGGGCAGGTATTCAAGACTTTTACGGCTCGGTTAGTTACACCGTGGAAATGTGCAGAGATGCCATAGCTCATTGGAATGTCTCCACGTATGAAATGCATTGAGCCGCGCTTTTATACACATGGGTATTGTGCATTCGACATGCATTCTGTCTGCGTGCGTGTGGAGCTCGGTGGGAGGTTAGATGTGCAGCATTACAATTTGCACGTTATACTGTGCACTGTGTCTCTGAAGTGCAATTGTATGAGGACTGATTGGAGGTTACAGTACTGTGCTGTAAACTGGCCGCCACAATAAGATCTTGAATCATATCATTTCAGCTGCCAGTTAATGGTCGAGTCAGTGAGGAAAATGATCCTGTTGAGCTCAAGATGTGAGATTATTTTGCTGCAACTAGTAATGAAATGGGCTGGTGTTTAAATGTTGTTCCTGTTCAGGAGGAGTTGGCTTCCCACAGACTCGAGATGTGTGTACGCAGCAGAACCACACAACGCTTGGAATAACAAACAAGCGAAAGGAAGCGTGCAGTGTTTGTGAACCTCTGTTCATCGACGATTCAGGAATAAAAGTGTTCTTAAGCCATTGCTCCCACAGCTGTAATCTGGTGCACTGCTGCAGATAGTTACTGCTTCTGGACTTGGCTTCTTTTAACCTAATTAACCCGTCATCTTTAAATGGGACTGTTTCTAATGTTAAATGTGGTATTATTTACAGCGAACAGATAAAACTGCCAGCTGCCCCAGCGGTGGATAGACCAGCAGACGTGCTTTCCTTGGCTATCTGATTTGAGTGAAGTTGAATAAGACTAGAGTTAATGCAGATCCCTGCAGAGGTAGGTAGTGCAAGTAAGACAAGCGTATTAGCTAAGCACGTAGAGGTGAGCAAGCATTGCCTGAGCCTTTGAGACCATGGCAGGTTTAATCACCCCAAATAGCAAAGAGATCTGTAATTTCTGTGTTAGGAGCTACAGGTAATCTCAATGGCTTTTTTTTATGTCAGCAGATGGTGATGGAGCCATACACTGCCCGAGGCAACGGTGCTGGAGATGACATTTCAGGAATGTTTTGACTCTGTTTTCAAGCTAGCGATTTGGATTTTCAGATCTGCCTCTTATCATGTCAGCGTTAGAGGGGCCACTGTTTATAATGGTGAAAAATGTGAGGGTTGTCTTTTTTAGCGATGAATAATATAGTTATAACTTTCTCATAACCCTCCTGTGGGCATTGCTTCCAAAACCACATTTCCATGGGCCCCCTCCAACCAACCATTCCTTCTCTGAGCCTCATCTGGCAGAGACGTGCTCTATCCCTTGTCTGTTCTGCCTCGCTGGAAGCCAGGTACAATGACTTCCATCTCCACCATAGTTTGCCTGAAATATTGAATGTCAGAGCAGGAGTATTCCTTGACTTGCTATTTGTTGTAAATTGCAATGCTAATGTAGAAGCTATTCTTACATACTGCCTGAGGCATGCCACACTGCTCCTTTAAATGCTCCAACCATATGGCACTTGCTTGTCTGTGATCATTTACCTTAGCGCATTGCTACCAAAGCTGTAGCCAGTGCTGTAATTATGTACATCATCAGAGCACAAAATTAACGTCCTTAGAACTGAGTGCTTTTTAAACCATGATGAAAGGCTGCTGACTGCACCCTGATGCTCCGTTTGTGATTCGGATTCCAGTGCTTCAGGTTGGTATATCTGGAGTGCATAGCGAAAGCTCTAATGTGGAGTGATGAGAGGAAGCTAAGTGTTGGATAGAGGGTGGCATGCCGACAGTTGTCTTTGGCATCTGGTCAGCAATCCTGTCTCAATTAGGGCATGCATACTGTAGTAGGGATTGGCAGGGTGTCTCAGGGCAGAATAACTTCAGGAATCTGCTGCCCCGGAATTAAGTTATAATAATAATCCTTGCATTCAATATAGCACCTTATCACATCAAGACGTCTCAAAGCGCTTTATAGGATACACTGTAAAGTGGTATTGACTGTGTATATTGTGGGCAAAACTATAATAAGTGAATTAATTTTTAATCTGCGAACAATATATTACTATCCACGTACAGTATGTCGTGCAGGAACATAGGCATGTATAGGATGGATGAAGAAGCCAATAGGTATTTAATTCCCTGTTGAATTTGCTGACATAATATGCCACAATCAGCTTCCTTGGTATTCATTTCATGAATTCACCACTCTCTGTAAAGTAATTAAGTCAGTACGATCTGTTCAGCTTCTCTCTTCTAATCTTGTGTCCAAGTCTCTTGTTAAATTTAGTATTCACAAGATCACAAGGGAGGTTTGGATGAAGAATTTCTGTTGACTGATATAATTTAATCTTTCCTGAATACTAATCCTAACTTTATAGGGATGCAATATTCATTGTTCACTTTTGCTCCCTCCCGGAAACCAACCTCTCCCAATCGCTCCCTGTCTTGTCGTGAAAGTGGTGACAAAGGATGGGGATGAGGAGGAGCAGCTCTTTGTGTGGCGGCAGATAATGTATTCCCAACCTGTTCATTTGTGTGCGGGGTATCAACAGCAACAACAACTTGCATTTATTTTGCGCCCTTCACATGGGGTAGCAGTTTGGAGCACTTAGATCATAGTCAGACCTGATCCTGGCTTTACTAGCAGCACACAGAGGGATGCCGTTTAGCCCTTAGAAACAGAGACCCTTGATCGCATCAATAAAGTTGACTGAAGCTAAGTCTTTTCCAAAAAAACAATCCCTCTCTTTGGGGACATTGAGTATTCTGCTCACTCGCAGTATAATTTAGATTTACTTTTGTGCATTGAAAATTGACATTGCACTGGAATGTTTTCATGTGCTCACTCCGTAAATAATCCCTCTTGCTGCGTTTGCCTCTGCAGACAGTTGCTGTGTTGCCAGCTGTTACTGTCGAATTCCTGAAACAGTAACCATGCGAAAGAATGCATTCTTATTGAATTCATTCTCAATGCCAGGACTAGTAACCAGTAAATCGCAGGGAGCAGCAATCCGAGACGGAGGTTTGATGAAAGAATTGTGTAAATTTTGGGGGTTTATTGCCCTGTTGGGACGGAATTTCCACATGGAAATATTTTCTGCTCTCCTACCATTTTCTTCCAGAATGTGTTGTGTAATAAATTACCGTTACTGCTTGGACAGGATTCCATTCATGAAGGTTCAACAACAAAACTTGCGTTTATATAGCACCTCTCACGCACTGTAGCGTCTCAGAGCGCTTCACGGTGGCGGGCACAACGCTGAGCCGGGTGGGGGGGCGGGGGGGAGGTGACCATAAGCACGGTCAAAGAAGAAGGTCTTCAGGCACGACCTGAAGATGGGGAAGGAAGGTTCCTCCTTCGCCAGACTCATTCTGCTGAAATGTTTGAGAGGAGAACCTTGATTGAGAGAAAGTGGCAGTGTCGATGAAACACTAGATTATAGAGTGAGTAATGAGGCTGCAAATCCATTCTCTGAAGTCAAATTGTGTGCTTTACCATAAGAGGGATGCTCAAAGTGGCTAATGGATGCCATCTCAACCCTGGAATTAAATTACAGCTGTGCGTAGTTTATAATATAGACTTAAACCGAATGAAATAAAACCATGGAAATGATTTAACTTGCTGAAATGGCATTAAATTGGGACTGCATATTGTGATGTTATCACTGTCATGAATAATGTCACGAATCACAGGAGGCTGTGAGAATCAGCTGTGGGGGTGTAGCTGTCATTACAAGGCTGCTTTGCTGGCGGCAAGACTGAAACTCTGATAGTTCAGACTCTGAAACAATATTCTTTTCAGTTTGTAATTTTTGCCTCCACCCTTATACATTTTCATTAGTTTTATTTGTTGTAAAGCTTAGAGCTGTTCTGTCAATAACTTCACACGTGTAGCATTCTCATTTCTGCTGTCCAGTAATGGAGGAGTTGCTAGATTTAGTTTGTTCACCTGGATGTCTGGCAGGTGATAAGGCGCTATATCAAATGCAAGGATTATTATTATAATAAGTATGGAAACTCATCACTGTGCTCCAACAGCATCCAAACCAGACTGACAGATCCACATGTGTGCTACTTTCCCGCCAGCTCTTCCATCCTCCATGAAGCTGGATCTCTGCTGTAACCCATTGAACTCAGGCACCAATTCTGCATAAAGTCCCCTCTAGTTGCTAAAGACGAATGGAAATTAAACCTGTATCCTCAACACTGTGAAGTAAGCATTAACCTGCTGCCTCAACAGGTGAGAAGTTTCCGGTTTTTGTCTTCTCTTGTACTTGAATAACTATTGGTAAAGGTTTCGCCTTCCAATGCTGTATTGACTCCACATTAACTCCTCAGTGTGAGCAGCGAGACTGACTCCGCAATGTACAACCATCCAGCATCTTGTTACTGGGAGAATGTGCCCTCACGAGCACTTTTAATACAACTGAAGGAACTACAATTTACATTTATGAAGCTGTCAATATCTCCTTTATTGTAACGTGGGACGACCAGGATGGTAGAAGATGGACTGGATGGACCTTGGTCTTCTGTCGTCTAGCAATTCCTATGTTCCTATGAAGCACAGATCACGTGAAAGAAATGTCTCAAAGCATTGTTCCTGTAACTTACTGTCCTTAAATGTGGGATATGAGGTTCTAGAAGAGTACTTACATGGGAACGTTGAGGCAAACCAGACTTCAGACCTCTTCAATGTTGCACTTGGAAGAGGTTTAGTTCAGTGTGATGAGGAGACCTCGCATGTAATAATTGGCCATGTTGCTTTGCGTCTGAGATGGGTTTGGCTGTGTGAGCGGAGGCTTTCTGGAAGATATTCGTTTTGAAGTCCCTGCTCTGTGTGTGTGATCACAGCAGCAGTTTCACTTTGTGTCGATGAGCACAGCGTGGCTTATAGTCAGGCCAGCCTGTCAGTGTGCGTGGCTTTGATCTGCTTGCCCTTTGAGGGATTGGCCGATGTGTAGACAGAAAGGGAAGGGTTTGTAATCTAATGTTGTGTTTGAGGGTCAGAGAATGGTTTGCTGAGGCTATGGCTTTGACGTGCAGTGGATAAGCCTGTTGGAAGGAGAGCAGCGAGATGACACGTTTTTTTCCTGAGGGCTGTGATATGAAGTCGACAGTCTGGGTGGTAAAGTCATAAGCTGCACTATAGCACGAAACCAGTTATTAGATCTCCAGCAGCAGGTCGTGGGGATTCAGCGTCAGGCACTGCACTGCACTGTGGGATGGATGTGCAGGACTGCAGTGCTGGCACTGATCCAAGGCTGAGAGACAGGTTACAACAGTCTGCGGAGGAGCTGTGAACCTGCCTTAGGGGAGGGGGATGAACACACACAGGTGAGAGGGTTCGGGGAGGCTATGGATGGAGGGGCTGGTCACAACATTCTTTGGGAATGTAAATGGGTTTGCGGAGGGGGCTCGTGGGGAGGCAGGGGAGGGGAAGCAGCTGAAAGTGAAATCCAGTCATACTTTGAAGATGTCCGAGAGAGAGAGCGACAGAGAGAGAGAGATTTGTCTGTTGTTTAAAACGTGCTGTAATCTCTTGGCATGAAGTCAATTACTCTCCGGGTTTAAGTTAAATGAATCTCTCGTGTTGAGAATGAGTTCGGTATCTCTGCTATTCTGCAGCTAGAGGGTATACAGTGCATGATTTAAGTTTTATTTTTTTTAAAAAAGTCTCCACTGATTGCCTACCTCTTAAAGAGGCAGATCTGTAGAGACAAAGATTCCATCATAGAAAGTTATTGTAAAAGGAACTGATAGCTTCAAAGATGAAGGAATGAATGTTCAACCATATTTTCCCATGGCTTTCAGTTTCAACATGAGGACTTCATGTGGCACTAGGTCAAATGTCTTGTGGAAATCGATTAACGTGGGTTTCCCCTTAGACTTACGATGTTCTGTGATCTCATCCAAAGCCACAACCTGTCCCACATACACATCTCAACAACGTGATAAGGCGTTATATCAAATGCAAGGATTATTATCATCTCTGGAATTTCCATGTGTAGGTGGGCTCTATGGAACTCTGGTTTGGATACCCTTAAGTATGGTGATGAGTTTCTGCATGTATCAGACCAAAACAAATTAAGGGTGTCATAAATCAATTTTATTCATATTCCCTAAGGATTGATCTAAAGTCACCTGCCCAGCAGTGACTCGTGAAACTAATGGGTGTGTTGTGAGTAACTGTGTATCTGTCAGAACTTGGGTTTGATCCAAATGGGCACCTCCCTTTCTCAAGGGAATGTCTATCAGGGAAGTGATGTAGCTTTGCAGATGTAGGCATTTCTTGAGCAGCTGTGTCAGGCATGTCTTGAGCATCTATAATAATAATAATAATTTGGTCACTCAATCCACGTCTGTTTGTTGGGACATTGTTGTAAGCATTTGGCTGCCGGGTTTCCCCCACAAAACATACAGTCAATTCACTTTACAGGATAATCTGTATGAAGCACTTTGAGACATCAACTGTGTGATAAGGTGCAAGGATTATTATAATGCCACTGCAATTAAAATCCATCCAATTTTATTTAGATTTGTGTGTGTGTACCTAAATGTATATCTGTGTGTATATGTACTGTATATACATATGAATGGAGCAGCTATAATATAGGTATTATGTAATGTACTATTTTAAAAAATAATTTCAGTGGTAAAATTTCAAATAAATATTTTCATAAATATTAGCAAATGTTTTTGAGAAATAAAAAAAATTATTTCATTCATTTCATTCTTTTATTCATTCACTCTACCTCCCAGTATAAATGGCTACTGCTGTTATCACCTGGGAAAATGCTAATTACTGCTCATTCATTCATTCCCCCCCACAGCTCTCGTGTTCCAGGCTGAAGTGGGAAGATTACCCCTCCCAGTGTTTGTACAGACTGGTGCGCTTCACAGTGAACTCACACATTGGAGGCACCTGTAATAATCTTTAATAATAAGGATTATTATTATCTGCTTCTCTGGCTTCTGCCAACCTGCGCCTGTGCTGGAAGCAAGCGAATAGTGTAACCTTAAAGTAGGAGTGAACACTTCAGACCCAGCAAACCGGAAGAAGAATCTTGCATTTCTAAAATACTTTATTACGTGGAAATATTTTGACAGTCATTTGCGCAGCAAACATCCCACAAACAGACATGAGTTGAATGATCCATTAACCAGAGCAGCATATTCTGAGTTTGAGAGTTTCTAACTGCTGGGGCTGGAGACGCTCATTGTCACCGCTGATCGTATCACAAAACTCCACCTACCTTGTGACTCCAGGTTTGTGTCCATTTAAAGAGTTCCTGCAGTGCAACGAGACGCGGTATAGAAATAGTTGTGTCAGCACTGTACTGCACGTGTAGTAAGCCAGTCATTCAGTGGCTGGTGGGAATATCACAGACACTGGCAGGAGCTTGTGGGTGCAGGACAATCAGCACTCGGAGATGGTATAACAGGGACCAAGTGTATAACGATGCTAAACCATTGTGGACCTAATATTCTGTCAAGCGCTTTGAGAGGTCTCAATGACGAAATAAGGCGTTATGTCAAATGCAAATGAGTTATTATCATAGCAAGGAGTGGAGGAGGGGCAAAAGTCAGCATCCTCACCTTGGTGATGGGGTGGGGGAGGGACATCGCAGACTTAATACAGTGTTGGTGCAAATGAATGTGCAATGAGCCAGTCTATTGCAAACTACCTTGCAGGGTGTAGTTTGTCTGTGGCAGGTGCTGTTTGTACGGAGAGAGCTAGCTGGTTGAAGCTGTCCTTGGAATGGGTTTGAAGTACAGAAGCAAATGGTGCTCCCCAGTGGGAATCTTTCACCAGACCAACATGCATTTTGGGGAATTTGTGTGTTTATTTTTTCTAATCGTCTCTATGTCTGGTTTGCAATCATTACTGGTGAGTGGGAATGCGGGGGTTTGGCAGAGAGAGGTTAAGGTCATGTTGTCTCCCAGCATTGGTGGGTTCCATGTGCCTTTTGTTGTATTCGCATCTTCCCTGTTGGTGTTTGACTTCGGGGCAGCAGGACCCATCTGTGTTTTGTCTGTTCAGCGTCTGTCTGATAGAGGCCGCAGAGCTCCTCGTGTCTGGCCATAAGATTCACTGCAATGGATCAATCTCATATCTCTCCCTCTCCACCATGAGAATTTCGTGCAGTTAGTTTTGCAAGATCAAATCTGCACCAACTGAGAGAGTTTACTCTGCGCTGCGAATGGAATGGGCTTTGGCAAGATCACTTTACATTTCCAGAGTTGTCTCTGAAGCTAGCTGCTGTAACCCCATCACCTGTGAGTCTGAGACAAGTGTCCTCTACCCCCTTTCCTGACAGTCACTACATTTTACAGCATATTCTGTGAAGCGCTTTGACAAGTTTGACAAATTGATAAGGCACTATAAGGCAACTATAATTACAAATTCCACCAATAAAATAGATGGGAGAGGGGGGGGTTGGGGGATGGGAGGTGGAGAGACGATTGTAATAGTGTCAGCAGATAGAATAAACCTGAGTCCAGAGGTGATGGGACAAGCCTGCAAGTTGCTGCCTCTCAGTAATCTGGAGAGGCCTCCTCTATTCGGACAGGGATTACTGCTCCATCCTCACTTCTTCCATTCAGCCATCAATGTAACTCTCCTCGTCTAAACTTGGATATGCACGCAGGGATGTGGAATAAGAAAGAGATTTTGATTTGCAGCTCTTCATAAAGTGACTACAAAAGGCTCGTATGACATGCTGAATGCTGCGTGTAGGCAGAAGCTTTGAATGGACACTGGGTATAATTGCCCCCAGGGTTGACCTTGGGCTGTGTCTGGGGAAAGTTTTCAAGCTCGGCTTCAGTGTACTTGACACTTAACCTGAAGTCAAAGCCTTGGTATCAAAGGTTTTTAACATGCATGCTGCCACAGTCCATCTGGAGAGGGGAACAGCAGAGGGGGAGGGAAATGGTCAGAAAAACAGTCTTTCCCAAAATCATTGTACAAATGGTGCAGTTTTTGAAAGTCTCCATCTTTCATTGGACTTAGGAGCCAGGGATGTCTGACTGGATACCCCCCAACCCCGCTCCCATAGTAAGTTCCTTTGAGAAATACAATGAGGAATGGTTAACCAAATTGTTTTACTAATTTTCACAGTTAGAGGATTGGGTTACAGCGATATGGTTGCCCTACTAGTGGGATAGAACAAAACAACAAATTACATTTCAGGTCTTTCACGTTGGATGTCCCAAGGCATTGGACAGTAGAAGGTTTGCATCCGAGCTGGGGGTTGGGATCAGGAGTGGTGGCGGCCAAGGGGATGGGCGTGGGAGGGTGACCGAAGACACGGTCAAAGAGGAAGGTCTTGAGACGTGAAATCCTATTTCTGATGTTTCTGTTTGTATCCTGAATTAACATTCTGGATAGGAATTGGTTAAAATTAATTGGGGAAGGATACAAAACTGGCTGGACTGGGCATTATTCCATGTGGTTTGGATGCAGGGAAAGAGGTTGATGATTTGGAATGGTTTCACTGCAAATGAAAATGATTCCTGTGATTACTTGTAATGCATATGAACCAATTTTCATCTTTTATATACTTATTTTACCTGATATGAAGTTGGAGCACAGGACTATTGAAAGTGTCATAACATGAAAGTTTGGAACCATTTAGCTCTTACACTGTCATTTTAAGGTCTCAATCTGGCTCAGTCCCTAAACATTCTTGCCTCTAGGTTAGAAGGTTTAAAAAAACATAAATTGGTAATGATAAAAACAGCAATTAATTTGAATGATAACTTTGCTTGGGGCTCTTAATGACATTTGCAAACTAACCTTCAGTCTTGTGACCCACAAAAGCTAAGCTCAGTACTGCATTTAAATACAAAGGAAGTGTTGCTCCTGGTGTAACTCACATGGCATCACACCAGCTGAGGTGTCAACAAAAAGTTTCATGACGGCCAATCTGTTTCATTCCTTAACAAGATTCTCCACAGCTGTGACTTCAATCCTTCGTTTTTAAAAAAATATTGGGCAGTTTTAGACCAAATGAAACTCACACGGGAATGTTCCCAAGCTTAGGCGCTGTGTTACAGACTCCTGCAGCTTTGACCTCAAGATTTTCACATCCGTTCAATTCCCTCAGCCTTACGCATCACTGAAATGCATCTCCACCTACGTGGTCTGTCTAGAGGTAATCATTATTGTCTGAAATCACCATCTGCCCATCAGTTTCACATGTGTGCTTCCCCAGAACAGACCAGGATCAGATAGCTGCACAAGATGCTTCTCACGGCGAAGACTACAGATAGTGTCTGAGACTTCTGTTTTGGGTGAGTTCTGTTCCCCCAAATATTGCGGATAGCGGTGATCC